TTTGCTCAATTAAACCAACATGGATGAGGTTGTTAGCATATATATACTGCATGGGGTAATGGCTCAACAAAATTTTGATTCTTTTTTCAAGTGTAATATACAATTTATTAAAACCTACAAAATTTTCTTAAGTTGAATTAATATCAGTGCAGTGAACACACTTGGATGATATAAAGCCAGATGATATAAAAAGCAGCACTATCTGTTAGCTCTAGTTCACCACTTCCCCTAGCTACTTACAATAAACACACTAATATGATCAAAGAAAAGTCCCTTTCAATTTCTTCTGACTCTAAAATTTTTGCATAAAACAATATGCTAGTAAGTTGTTTGTTTTAACCAAATAATTGTTTTCCTAGAAATACTTTTGTACACTACTTTGTCACGATAAACAATTAGACACGACTTCCTGCAATAGACATTTTAACAAGTCAATTCTATCAACTGCGAAAGTTTTCACAAAACATTTGATAGACGTTACACAGTTATGGATAGTTCATCGATTATCTCTTGCATGGTAGGTCTCGCTCCAGGATCTGTCTGCAGGCATCGCCGTACCAGGCCTCTTAAGGATCGATCCGTCATCAGTAGAACTTGCTGTTCACGCCTTCTAGGATCTGGAAGTTGCCGGCTGCACATTTCACAAAGAAGCACACCAAAGCTATAAACATCAACCTATGAACAATACAAATTATTTCTTGTTATTTGCCTTAAAGCGTTCTATTACACTACTGCCAGTTATACCCAGTTCTTAGTGCCATTTTAAATATTTATTTCGTTATTTAGCAATTATTACATGAAGCTGAGTAGTATCTGAAGGACTATACTTGCTCGGGGCGGGGGGGGGGGGTTGGTTGGCGTCTTTATTTGACTGTTCCTTGGCAAATTCAGGAGATAAAGGAATGTAAAGTTTAGCACATTAGTATATAATCATATATCCATCCTATCGTTAGGGAGGAAAAGTAAATACGCGCCCACGTCCACCCCACCCTCCCCCTCCAAAAAAACTGAAGTAGACAATAACAGTGAGGCTATTATTAGTCTCGCTTGCGTAAGCAGCGAGACTCATAATCTGCAACGCGTTTTTTGCCCCGGGGGGAGGGGGGTAGTCCCTAATAGAGGCTATATAGGTATATGCCGCGCCAAAGGTATGGTTTTTTAGCCGTTTTGGACTGAAATAGGGTATCAATTTCGACCATTTTGGTCTGCAATAGGGTTTGGTTTGTGCACTCTAGTCTTGTATGTTTTTTAGAAAAATTAGCTACATCTTCATCATTTGGCGATAAGACCTTTTCAATTTTGATGTTTACTCCAACTACTGTGTACGTGCCGTAACAGCCGTGTCACGCGCTCCGGTTAAGCACCGAGCTCCAGGGCTTCAGGTCTGAAATAGGGTATAAGATATAGATTTAGCCAGGGCTAAAAGCGAAGCTCCAATTAATAAATTTATAATTTAAATCAAACAATAAACTTTTAATCGACAAATCATTTAACTTAAGGGCACATTCATGTGACTTTTGAGGGAAAGGCTAAGTTATTTTAGAGTGAAACATCTTACATCGAATTGATAACCTTATATGTACACCCAAAAAATAGCAAACATCTTCGATCACATTCAAGATCACAGTAGATTAGGCCTCGAAAACAAATTCTTGGAAAACAAATCACGCCGAATTTTTTTGCGTTCGACAGGTTTACTTTACAAATTCTTGCCAACAAATCTGGGGGTGTTTAAACCAACCTTTTATAATTTTTATACATCACATTTGAGGTGAAACAGTACTATTTATCATACAGACCTCGGACAGAATGCAGTATTTCACAATTTTTCAAGACAAATTGCACTCAGTCAATATTCAGGACGATCAATCGTAAAGCGAAACCGTTCAAAAATTTCCAAAATCACCCATATGGCTAGCCGGTTCTCGTTTCTATAGTGCGAGCTGTCAGTGTGGTCGAGTGTTTGAATGAACTTTAATAGAGTTAAGCTTCAACATAATAGCGAATTTATTATTTTTTTTTTTTGTTATTTAATGGTTTCAGTTATAACGATGTGTAATCTTATAAAGCGTTTGATACGCGCGACATTTTTGAGTACTCCTGCAAGCGATGTTCATGAACGATGAAAACAAACGGCACAGACAAGCGATTAAAATTGCAAGAGAGACTACTAACAATCAAAAAAAGAAATATAATTCGGTGAAACATTTACAGAGATAACAATTTTCATTCATGAAGACAAGTATTAAAGTGTCTCTAAAAATCCTGAGTCTCGGCGTGAAGCTTTATAAGCCGGCTTCCCGGCGCGGGTGTTTACTGTTTTCCAAGGTGAACTCCTCGAAGCAAGAAAATCGCTCAAAGTTTTCTTTCTACAGCCAAATTTATAACTAAATATTCTTCGGAACGTTTTCTTTCTATCTGTGGTGAGCAAATATATCTGAAGGCTTTTTAAAGTTCTGTAAGCTTATATCAAACCGTTCAAACCTGATACTAGGTCAGATCATTGACTCAAACTACGGCTACAAACGTGCATAAACTTGCCGCATAAACTGTCAGCGTGAATGTGCAAGACTTCATGAAATTAGATATAACAAAAACAAACATCAAATACAATAGTTACTCAGGCTTACCATTCGAGATTCAGTTCCTGAAAGCTATCAAGGAAGGCCACAGTTGCTTGAGACTTTTAAACCCTCTTACGCATTAAGCAAGGTGAAAAACGAAAACGATGCCATCCGAAATCGAATTACCAAATTTTGAAAAGCGACGCGTTTCTCAACCAAAAACCCAGTAAACAAACCAGCCATGAATAACAGAAGACTCTTGATAGCAGCTGTATTTCATTTTGTACATCCAGAAGAAAAAGACAGTTAAAAACATCACAAGTTGACACAAAACTCTTCAGCTTCAGCTGTCAAAGTAAACAATTTTCAAGATGCTGCATAATTTTTTCGCGTGAACTCACCTGTCAAATTTTGACCAATCAGAGTATAAAAATTGGACGTAGAGCGTGACCAACGGGTGACCATGGTAAGATAAGGTCTTCCCCGCCTGTACTTTTAAAAAAACTGGCTGAATTTTCGCTTCCGAAGTCAGTTTGAAATCAAAGTCCTACTAGTGCGGGGCCATAGTGACATAAACACAACATATTTGATATGAATCCTTGGAAAAAATAAACTTGAGCCTGCGATCATTTCAAACTGGTAATTTGTCAGCGGATAACTTCAAAAAATACTCGACCTCGATGGATCGACATTTGAGCCCGCGCTACGGTCAGGTGATACTGGTCAGCGGATGCCCTGTTTTGACAGCTGTCAATTGATCACAACATTGATGTGCAATTATTTTTCTCTTGGGCTCCCAAACTAGCTAAAAGTGTGAGAGTAAACATTGGTTGTCCTGTGGTGCGGACGGACGGTCGGTCGGCGGTCGGTGTACGGTCACGTGATTACCAAATTTTCTGGGATGGGTAGATTTTCTAAGCTATGGGGCTTCGCGCGCGCGTGGAGCTCCGCTAAAATTTTTGATCAGGTCTGAAATTGGTTAGGGAAAATCACAGATTTTGGTCTGAAATAAGGGTTTGTTGAAGTGTGGAGCACATTCCCACCCAATTTTTCTGGAAGTAACCCCCCCGCCCCCTCCGGAATTTTTGGTCGAATTTTGGGTCACAAAAGGAAGGTCATTGTGTCAGGCGTTCCTTGAGGAGACCGTGGAAACTGGCACTAAGAATCGTTGCATGATCGAAGCCACGCATGTTCTGCGAAGAAAGCTTAGGAAAGATTAAATTTACAGCTTTTCCGAAACGTCTCGGTCCACGAATTCTATCGCTTGAAAGCGTTGATTACTTTGAAGCAAGTGAACACTACTGAGTGGTCGGAAAAAAAAATCTTAATTAGCAACTTTCACTGTATGCAAATGAGTCTTGTGACGAGCATGCGATTTATTTTCCCGCGATGATTGAAATGACGTGCCCTGTAAATCACTTTTTTGATATCTGGCAATGATGTAATTTCTCTGGAATCGAGGCCCTTTTATACACGCGTATAGCCTGCTACTGGAGAGGTATTTCAGGTCGTCGCTAACACGCGTACTAAATCAATTCAGAAACAAATAAGAAGTATCGACGTCGATAAAGTAGGAAGTAAAAAACCTTTAGCGAGTAAATCATGTTTCTTGTAGAATTAATCGTCTCCTCATTTCTCGATCTAATCTCCAAGCAGGCGAGGCGGAATGCCGCTGTAAGCGTGTTCTTGTTTCTTTACTACTCTATCTGCTTCTACAGTCGAAACTCTACAGATAAATGCGTTCTTTGTCCTAGCGGACAGACAATATGTTTACTTTTGTTGAACCTCTCGACAAAAACCTCTAAAGTGCGTCCCAAAGGCCCAAATACCCTCTCTATAAAGGTCATTTAGCAGCGAACGATGTACAAACCGTTGAAGTCATTGACCTTACTCGCTTTGTTTTACTAACATTTTTTTTGAGAGCATTTTGGTTCGGTATTACATTCTGGTTTTAATGTCTCATAGGGTAGATTTCCACAGGCTGTCGCGTAATCTTTACGTGCGTGTACACGAGTGTAAATTTTAATCTCGTAAATAGAATAGAGGCAAGATATAAAGTGTTGAGCTTTAACGTGAAGTTGGGTGACGTTCAAATTTTACGTTTACGCGCGACATTTCAAATATTGCCTCTATTTTACTTGCCAACGTAAATTTCACGCACGTTAAACGCACGTAAAAATTACTCGACAATGGAAATCTTAAGGTTGATTTCCACTGACGCGTTTTTGGCTACGCATGTTAACGCACGTAAATTTAATCACATAAATAAAATAGAGGCAAGGTATAAAATGCTGAGATTAAAAGTGAAGTTGAACGAGGTTCTACTTTTACGTTTACGTGCGACCTTTCATGCAGTGCCTCTATTTTATTTGCGAACGTACATGTTACGCAACGTACGCACGTAAAAATTACGCGATAGTGGAAATCAACCCTTAATAAGCTTTGATAAGCAAAGTCTTTCAAAAAGATTTTGTTACTCCAGCACGCCGCCTATAGCCCGTACCTATTCTATAAGGATGGATTTCCTCTATCGCGTAATTTTCACGTGCGTAAGCTAGCAAATTTTTGCGCTCGTTGAGCGAGCTTCAACGTTAAACTTGTCGTTTACGCGTGACCTTCCATATAATTCCTCTATTTTATAGACGCGCGTATTAATTTAAGCGACAGTGGAAATCCACCTGTAATACGTTTCTGTGCATTGTGGGTTTCTTATTTAAAGTCAGTTTCTCTTCCCGACTCACTCTTTACACCGAGACCGTAATGAATCTTGTTCTCTCCCCACCCTCCTGCCCCAAACTGTTACATTACCGTTGTCGACTGTAATACCCACAAGGAGCTGGAATTTAAAGTTGTATGATTTACAGCCAGAAATTGTTCATAACCCGCTCCTACTGCTTCGCACTGAGGCTCCCACTTCTTATTAGCATTACTGACATTGTTTGCGGATGGCCCCGGTGAGAATATAGTTATTACAATGGTCACCTTTTTAAGCAGGGACGTCACTCTCTCACACAAGGCAGTCGTTGAAGAAAGGTTTGACTCTATAGGCCAGTTATCTAAACGCAGTTTAGTCAGTATTTAACAGAAACGCGTTTTAAGCCATGCATTTTCAGTTTCCCGAACGCTTTTATGTAAACACCATTTAACGTGAACAGTTTCGTTAGAGCATATAAGGTAGTCAAGAAAAGCATTTATCTTCTTAAAGGAACTCACTAAGGAAGAGATCTGAAGGTCCAACGATTTGTTAAACAGTGGCATAAGTTGGACTTCGTTTAAAAAAACCTACCCTATCAGTTTTATCTGCGAAGTCGCCAAAATAATTAACTGAAGAACTAATGAGGAACATTTAAATCACAACAGAAGCTTAATTTTTTTTTTCGTGGCATAAACACCTGAAAACGACCATAATAATGGAGCCATGAACATTTGAGTTCAAATGGTGATGGTTTTGAGCTATCACCGACCACCGATTGACCGGGGCTTAAGCAGCAAGGGATATTGCCATTCCACACTGCACAGGGCAATCCGAGTTAACACTATTTTGATGTGTCTAATTGCATGCCTAGGTGAAGAAGGGTAATGTGGAGTAGGGTTTTTTTCGTGTCGTAAACGAACAACCTGACCTTAAAGTAGCTACGCGCTCAAAGATGATTGTAACAACGCGTCTCTTTGAAGTCTGAAGATGTTGATGAACCAGTGCTGAATAAAAAATTCTAAATTCACTTAAACTTACCTTGACTGTTTGGTTTGATGTAAGTGCTTCAGGTGCGCTGTACATCATAGCTCCAGGAGCCACTGTCATGGTCTGCTTCATGAAATTAGCAGTGCCATAATCTGACACTTTGCCTCTCCACTGGTCACCCTGTCGCCATAGCAACACATTAGCACTGCTCACATCCCGGTGAATGATAGGCTCTGGTTTCTTCTGATGGAGGTAGTTAATTGCTCGGGCTACATCCAGAGAAATTACGCGTATTTCTATTTCGTCGAGTTGTCGCTGTTCTAACAGAGCTCGCAGACTTTTCTCCATCAGCTCGGTCACAAACAGAGGGTTTCCTTCATCGTTAGTGGCGCCGATAAACTGAAGCAAGTGAGGATGGCGGCACTTGGACGCAATATTCATTTCTCTCTCAAAAAGAAGAATGTTATGAGGGGAGAGAATCAGATCATGAATTTGCTTTACTGCTACAGTACAGCCACAATACACGCCTTCATAAACACTTCCCCAGCCTCCCCTGCCAAGGCATCTGTTGGTCAGTTGAATTTCATCGCGGGAAATGACCCAATCGCATGATTTCTGTTGTTGCTGTTCACTTATTGTTTGCTGAGCTAAGGAAAGACTTAACTCTAGTTCATTTACTTCCTGGTCTTTTTCTCTCAACTGTCTTTGTAAGTTTTCTTCACGTTGCCGCATCTCTCTGAGCTGCCTTTGTAAGTTTTCTTCACGTTGCTGCATTTCTCTGAGCTGCCTCTCTAAAGTTGCTTCGTGCTGTCGTATATCCCTTGATGGCCCTGGAAAGTCTCCACCAAGAGTAGGCGTTTGTACGCTTGCTCCACGTAGATCCTCCATATTTTCTGAAGGAGTATAATTATTTTATGACAATTAAATACCAGAAAAAAAAACGAACTGTACCTGAAAGAATTTAAGGCACAGGACACACCTCTACACACAGAATAAACAACAACTGGTACTAGATACTAGATTTATGTGTGACATGAGTCCAACATACTGCTTTGGATCAGCAATGGTAAAAGAGTACTGTATAATGATACAGAGACACTGGTGGTAAGGCTTTCGTGTAGTTTGTGTAGGTTGGTGCAGTTGCTGTAGTTGGTGTAGTTTGGTGTAGTTCGTGCAGTTGCTGTAGGTTGGAGTAGCTGATGTAGTTTGTGTAGTTGCGAATGTTTCTTATTAAAATCAGTCACTGAGAACTAGGAATCTCTCGTACCTTTCTCATTTTATCGTCTGTATATGTGTTAGAAGCAGATCGGTTATAATTAATACAGATCTGCATTTATATTTTCTAATCAATGGAAATAATCTGAGCAAAAATAAACCTTGAAGTTACAATTTAAAAAATAACAACTAAATTCTTGAACTATAAAAAGAAGTTGCAGCAAAAAATTCGTCACTTCTATACCGATAAAAATTACATGCACTGGAAAAGTGTCTACGAAAAACTTTAATTTTCTCTTGCATTCTTTATTGCATTAAGGCACATAAGGGGTATCGAAAAACAGACATTTATGTCCCTTTTACACAGACTGAAAAAAAAAAACCGAATCTATATCCTATCCTGAGGTGAAGCAGGACATTTCACTCAAAACCTGGATAAATCTTAGTCAAGACTTAGTAATCCGGGATTATATACCGAATGTGTTTTGACCAAAATCTAAAACCATGCAATGTCACGTTAACTATATAAGCACAAGCATGTAGGAACCAGCGTGACATACCTAATAAAAAACGCCGCAGTGTTTCATAAAGTTTCAAGATAGAATTGTAATTGTCTGGATGGTGTAGATTACCAGTTGTAGCGAGTTTTCTTTTGTAATCCTCAAATAAACACCGCATTCTTCTGATTGTGTGCGGTGTTTATTCCAGAGCACCGTTAATTGATCTTTTATTCGAGGGCAGCGTTTAATCGACTAATCACGGTAAGCCTATTGAAAGAACAGGAAGAAGGGTAAAAATAGTCCTTCCTAGGCCCATCTCGTTTCGTAATTTTAATTGCTCGATAATTTACCCTTCCAAAAGTGTGCCAAGAAATATTCCAAGATTTTTCAATGGCGGGTCTCGTGATAATTCTAAAAGAGGAGGCTTACACGCTTGACATGTTTTCTTTTTCTTAACAGCTTTATTTGTTACATTTTGCTTTGTAACATTTTGCGTAAAAGAAGTTGTTACGTCTTGCGCTAAAAATTTGTTGCACTTCACATTATATGATTGCTACATTTTGTTCAAAAAGCTGTTAATGCTTAATGTCATTACATTTTGCGCTAATTCTATCAATTATAATATTTTGCGGCATAAAAGACACGCCAAAGGCCGAAAGTAGACCAAATTTATAAGCGTTTAAAACGCGATTTTGCTTAACACCGTTTTTAAAACTCTGTTTTTATTACTGGCTCATCATTGCGTTTGGATATTTCGCTTAGAAATTTTAAATATGACAGCCCTATTTTCCTTGAACAGTATACGTCTTTAAATTCAAAAAAACAAACTTACAGTTTATTTAACTACCCATACCAACTGCCTGTATCATTGACTGACTACCTGTACGGGGTTGAATCAAATACCTTAAAATTCAAAAACCAAACCCTAACTAACTCCTGACACCATAAGCTTGGGCTGCTTGTATCATTGTCCGGCTGACTGCTTGTACGGGTTTAACCACCAAACTACACTCACCGTAATGAACTCTCGCCATAAGCTTGATCTTCCTGAATTTATACACTATATGACTTACAGCTAGAGGTTCAACCATGTGCCTCTTTGTTCCAAAACCAAAATCAAACAAAGTATTGGGAATTCCATTTCATACTCTTAGTCTTACCTTTGATAGAGGCGGGCATCTTTTCAATAAAAAGCTGAAGCTCATTTGGATCAGCATTCTTTATTTGAACAGTTTGTCCCCTTTCAAGAGGACGCCGTCTCAATAGTTCAGTAATTGTAACTGTATTATTGGTGACCTTCATTGTAGATTCAGGCATAATGTGAAACTGAAACGGTAAGGAAAGATAATGATATAATTAAAGTAATACAGTCAAACCTGTATAAAGCGGTCATCCTTGGGAATGACTTACTCAACGTCGGCTTACTACAGGTTGACAGGTTTACAAACCTAAGAGTTAATATTCAAGGAAATGAAGATAGTGAAAAAGCGAAATATCTATATCTCACGACAAATTGACCTCAAACTGTTTGTAGCATTCTTGGGCCAAAAGAAAGGAAGTAAAAGCAGACTTGCCAAGTCTCACGTCTTTTAGGACCTGTGTCACGCTCTCACGAGTTGACAACTGATTTCTCACGCTTAATTTCTGGAAGCGTCGAAATCCAAAACATTTTGGAACCAGGGTTCGTTTCCAAGTTAGATATCAATAGATAGCCAGCTCAACCCAAACAAAACGGAAAAGAATGTAATCAAACGCGACTATTCTTTTAGCCTACTGCGCAACTTGCCGCTGCCACCAATGTGCAGACTTACTGTTACTCTTGTTTCAAGATGGCGCCAACAAAACATAGAAATTACAAAACCTAAATAGTGATATTGATCGTGAAGTTTACTGCTTCAGCTTTAAAGTGATATAGTGACTTCCAATACCATAATCTCCACTGAAAGTCCTTCCACTAGGAAATATGGGGAATCTCACTACTCTTCTACCCATTTCTCACCCCTTTTGCCAGCTCTAGGTTCAGAATATCACATTTTTTCGCCTTTTGGGGCTGGCATTAGTTCGCCTCACCATTTTACTATTTTTTAGAGTTACTCAATTTACGATTCAGAGATATTATTAGGCAGTTATTAAATTTATTAGAACTAGAATTCAGAGTTTAAATTATAATTAGAATTTACAATATATTACTAGAGTTTATAAATATGATACAGTCTCCCCAATTAATAAGTCACTGTGCCTGAGCTATAAGACATGAGACTTTAACAAAGTTCATTATCATTATTATTATTGGCAAGTATCTAAAAGACCACAAAACGCCTACACAGTCTATCCCTTTGCACTCAAGAGTATGGCACATCTTGCCAAAAGGGGCAGTTTAATACAGTGGAACCCCGCCTTACGGCCACTGCAGTAATACGGTCACCCCGACTTATTACGGCCACCTTTTTTCGGCCGCGACCTGGCAGAACAGCCATACATTTTAAATTCTTATAAAAAAGAACCGTTAATGCGGTAACCTGCTATTACGACTAAATTTTTTTGACCCATTGGTGACCGTATTAACGGGGGTTGTACTATAATACTCTTTGGGACCTCCAAAAAAACGTGACCACGGCTGCTTAATAGAGGTAACTGCTAAATGCAGATCAGTTCTTTCAATAATCAAGGGAAGCTATTTCCAGGACTTTGGCGACCGCTTATGGACATTCGCTAAAACGGGTTTGACTATATAGGGGCAGTTACAGTAAACTCCCGCTAATGAGAACCTGTGGATTAAGAACCTCCTGGCAATAATATTTGTCACTTTAATTTCCAAAAATGCAAGAACCTGTTTAGCCAAGCAATATCTAGCCGAACAACGAAAGCATACTGTACTATAAACTGTTTATAAATTCGGTAACTAGTTTTTTTAGGGTTATTATAACACAATTGTGAATAAATAAAAGTTTGAATTATTTTTCTGGTAATCAACATAACCTATCATTTCCTTCATAACAATAAAGAACCTAATTAAGAACCTACATAGCCTAAATTGCCAAGAAGTACCCCAAAATACAAGAACCTATTCTGCCATACTTATTAGTGAGTGTTTACTGTTTCGTAAAATTACAGCTGAATACAACTATATTCACACCCCATTTAACCGAGATCTCAGTAGTAGCATTATAAACAGGTGCGCCATCAGTTATAGGAAAATTTGTTCAAAATGTTCAGCTCAAAATCATTTGTCATAACAGTAGCCTTGCAGCTCTTCAGAACCTCTAATATTTATTTCGATCCCCATATGTCTTTTGTTTTGGGCTAGGGTTCCATGGTTACTTTGTTTGTTCATCGTTTTTGCAACCAATCCCTATGATGTTGCCCAGTATACACTAGACCATACGGTCCCTGGTTCGTTCCCAGGCCTAATTTGGGTATACCATGAGCAAGTCAGGCAACATCTTCTCTCCCCCACAGTAGATGAAAGATTACAATTTGAAAAAAGGGGCCAGGATAATAAGTGGTAAAAGGCTAAATAAAGATGATAAATATTATTATGCAAGACACATAAAAAATTCATTATCGGACCGACTTAATAATACCTGAAGAATGAATTTATAATGTCAAGTAAATTTCACTTAAAAATAGGGACCATTGTCGCTCTTACCATTTCGGGTTTCATGTAATACTATTTGGTGTGAATTTTAACTTGTACAGTGTACAAGAAATGGAGCTTATAAAGTCAGTCTTAGGTATCAAAGATTATCATAATAATACCGATCAAGAAAGTCAACAGGTTCACAGTGCAAAGCGCATAAAGTTATTAAGTGAGCTTTGAAATAAAAAAAATTAAACTTGAAGCAATAGATAAAACAAATACAATGAAACCTCTATTCAGGAGACACACTCAGGACCAAAGCAAGTGTCCCTTGAATAGAGGTTCCCCCTGATTAGAGGTTGGGCTGGGTTTTGTTAATAATTAACCAACAAAGACAGCATAAAGAAATCATCATTAGGGACTTTAAGATGCCACAACGGCGACGACAAAGAGAACGGCAAAAAGGCAACAGAGCGTTTTCACTCACGTGGCCAGCATCTACATGCTTTAAAATTATGCAAATTAGGTCA